GTGTCCGAGGTAGGGTTAGGGTTAGTGTTGCAACAACACCCTGACATTTTCTAATGCATCTGCCATGCCTTAGGATTTATTTGCAGTGCAGGAAAGGTGTTGTTTTGTTGTTTCCTCGAAAAACAAATTGTGAGCAATTTTTTTACTAAGCCGTGCGGCCGTCAAAAAGGCCAGAAAATCCAAACTCTGAAAACACACTGTCTACATGCTAAACTTTCTTTTTTTCTGTGTTCAAAACTAAAGGAAATAAGTTTAGCCAAACTTTACAGGTAATTGTCATGCTCACTTGAAAACTAGTCAATAACTACATATTTTACACATCATTTCAGAAGCCGGTTGAAAAAAAAGCAATGCCACAAAATTGAAATTTCCTGTCGTTAAACTCTGTTTATTTTTAAGGTTCTGACTAATTGGGAGTCATTTGTCTACTTTTTTTTAACAGTTTTTAAAGCTGGGATTTGGAAATATGTTACAAAAGTGTCCGAGGTAGGGTTAGGGTTTGTGACAGAGGAGACTGTCACAAGGTACAGTTAGCACAGGAAATACACTTTTCAAGCAGCTTCTGTTGAGCAGCTGCTAGATAAGCTCCTGAGGGTGCACACTCAGGGCTTTACTAGTAACTGCTATTACTTAATTTCATATACATTCACATACATAAAACACATTCTTTAACACGGGGATTAGTGAGTATTGTAGTGTGAATGGAGAGCACTCTCAAAATGGATAATTCTCACTGTTTGTTTGGTGTTGGTACTTCTGGGTTGGGTTAGCCTCTGGAGGCCTCATAAGGCCAAACCTAACCCCACTTCTCAAGGTTTATTTATGGAGATGGGAAAAACCACATACATGTGAAGAGAGGTAAATGTTATTGTTTGTATTGTTTATTTGAACCAGGATCAAAAGCATTGTGTTGTTAAGATATGTGATGTTTTTTGGTTAGAAAGGAATTCATTTTGAATGTATAATTTGTGAAATTATAAATTTGGAGAAATGGTTTGTTCTAGAGGGGGAGGGGTTTACATGCTATTTAAACTGGCTCCTCAGCCTTGGAGGGAGTTGATGGTTGGTGAGTCATGTAGTGTGACTTAAATCAATGAGAAAGCAATAAGAAAAACAGGATTGGTCTATTTGAATTATTATTTTTGTTCCTTTTTGGGGTTTTGTTTTTCTGGTGTGTGGGACTGTGAGCACTGTAAATAAGGTGCACTTATTATACGTGAGTGCTTTGCAGTGGAGGCATTCTTTTATAAAATGTACCTACTTTGGCCTTCCTCTGGCCATTGTGTAACAGGTTTAGTGTTGGAACAACACCTACACATTTTATAATGAATTTGCTGTGCTTTAGGATGTATTCTAAGTGCAGGAAAGGTATTGTTTTAGTGTTTCCTCGAAAAACAAATTTGGACATACTGTATTTTGTATTTTTACTATTTGTGCCTGTAAAAAATGGTAGCAAAATACAAATTTTCAAACCACACTTTCTACGCGCTACTCTATTCCTTGCTTGTGTATTTTCTTCTGTATTATTTTGCCATAATTGTGCAATTATTTCACTTGTGTTGTGTTATTGTTAACTGTGAACTTGTTGTACACCAGGGGAAAAGGTACAAGTAAGGTTTATTTTTGTCTTGACACACTGGCTTAGGGGCGAGTGCCACCTTTGTCTTTTTCTGGTTCTGGTTAGTCAGTGTAGGGAAGTTAGGGCATATGAAGACCTTTTGTTTTGTGGTTTTGGTTAGACAGGTCAGATCTCACCGTCACTGTATTAGCTAGTGCAGTTTTGTTATTTTTCTTTTCTTTGGCACCACTCAATTTTCTTTTCCTTGTGTGTTCTTTGTGTCTTGTTATACGTACCAGTCACTTATTCACTTTTTTACTTTGTAAATAAATCACTTTTGCCCCGAAATTTTGTTGTCTCACTTCCTAAGTCCCTCACCTGAAACCCACCTGCATCCAAACCCTAGACACCTGGGGTTGTAACAATATTGAAAAGTCAGTGTCAATGTTGCATATTTAAATAAATACACATAATGCACACAGATTTAATATCAACTGATTATAAGGATCATCATTTAACTGTTTTTAATCTGATATTTTTTCCTTAATTATTATTTTAAGAACCACATTGTGAAGATACTCTTCTATGGTTGAAATGAGAAGCCTAGATAATCAGAAATGTGTTGGAACAGCTGATTAGTGTTTCTAGCTCTGTATTACAGATTGCAAAATATGAATACATCTGCATCAAGGTCCTGCCAACTACCAATAAAGTGAATAAACTTCATCAAACATCTTGAGAAAGCATATTGAGGAGCTGTGAGCAGTCACTGTTTTTCACAGCCTTTGATGAATGTTGGCAGTCAACTTCAAAGGGTGAAGCTGTTGTTTCATTAAATGCTTTCAACATTGATTTTTACAGCTACATACATCATCTTTATTAATATCAACATTAATATACTTTGGTTGTTTTCAAAAGTTTATCATTATTTAAATAATCATTACACAGAAACATTAATACTTGATTGCGAAAGTTATCTACAGTGGAGCTAGAAAGTCTGTGAATCCTTTAGAATTGTCTGCATTTCTGCATACATTTTACCTAAAATGTTATCAGATCTTCATCAAAGTAATAAAAATAGAGAACCCAATAAAACAAATAACACACAAAATGATATACTTTTTCATTCATTTATTGATCAAAATGAACCATATTAAATGTTTTTGTCTGAAAAAGTATGTGAACCTCTAGGATGATCAGTTCAGTTAAGGGGATAATTAGAATCAGGAGTGTCAATTAATGGGATGACAATCATGTGTGAGTTTGGGTGGCCCTGCCCTATTTAAAAAAATAAACCTGTCTTCATTTCAAAGTCTGGTCTTCACCACACAGGTTTGTGAACGCATGCCATGCCTCGATCAAAGGAAATTTCTGAAAGTTGTCGATGCTCATCAGGCTGGAAAAAGGTTACAAAACAATTTCTAAAGACTCTGGGCTTCACCAATCCACTGTCGTTGGACAAAACAACACCTTTCCTGCACTGCAAATACATCCTAAAGCATGGCAGATGCATTAGAAAATGTCTGGGTATTGTTGCAACACTAACCCTAACCCTACCTCGGACACTTTTGGAACAAATTTCCAATCCCTGCTTTAGAAAACTGTATTCAAACAAGTCCACAAAAGTCTCCCAATCGGTCAGAATCATGTCAAGTACCTGTAAACAGGTATTTTCAATCTAGTGCAGATAGTGTACAAATGGAGAAAATTTAACACTATTATTACTGTTGTAACAGAAGGAATAAGGTTCTTGATCCCGAGATGACGTAAAACAGATGAGTTTATTGCATGCAAGGAACAATAAAGCCGAAGTCTTGTTTCTCGCAAGAAACAACAAAACCGAAGTATTGTTCGCCGTACTGGTACAAACTTTTGGGTTATATAGTGTTTTCTTCTCCGTTTCTGACGTCACTCGGTCTGATGGTAAAGAGGGGGGTTCATGGTATTTGGCCAGTTTACGATGTCCTGGCCAAATGGTCAGTTTAAGATTACACCCAGGGGGGTTCCTAGCTTGCATCTGCAATCCTTATCAGTTAACCCCCTTTCCTGCCCCAGCTTGTGACTTAGAAGTCTAAACCTCATACAGAGAGGATTAAATTCAAACCCCCGTCTTCACATCTTTCTTCATTATTCTCCCCAGAAGTGGTCATCCAACACAAATCACTCCAAGAACAAGGTGTATAATATTCCGGGAGATCACAAAGAACACTGGGGTAACGTCTAAGGATCTGCAGGCCTCTTCCACTGGCTAATGTTGGTGTTCAAGGGTCCACCATCAGGCACTGAACAATAACAATATGCATGGGAGGATAGCAAGGAGGAAGCCACTACTCCCAAAGAAGAACATTGCTGACCATATAAAGTTTGTTAAAGACCACCTGGATGAGCCAGAAGACTACTGGAAGAATGTTCTATAGACAGATGAGTCGAAAATAGAACCTTTTGGCTTAAATGAGAAACGTTATGTTTCAAGAAAACCAAATACTACATTCTAACATAAGAACCTCATCCCAACTGTGAAACATGGTGGTGGCAGTATCATGATTTGGGGCCGTTTTGCTGCCATGGGACCAGGACGGCTTGCCATCATTGACAGAACTATGAATTCTGGATTGTACCAGCACATTCTACAGGAGAATGTCAGAGTATCCGTCTGTGAACTGAAGCTCAACAGAAGGTGGGTCTTGCAGCAAGACAACGACCCTAAACACACAAGTCAGGCTACCAAAGAAAGGTTGAAGCAGAAGTCAAAGTCCAGACATTGATCCAATAGAAATGTTGTGGCAGGATCTGAAGCGGGGAGTTCATGCAAGAAAGCCCACCAGTATCACTGAGTTGAAGCAGTGCTGTAAGGAGGAATGCCAAAGGAGGACAAAATTCCTCCAAGCTGATGTGCAGGACTGATCAACAGTTACCTTAAACGTTTGGTTGAAGTCATTGCTGCTCAAAAGGGTCACACCCGTTACTGAAAGCACAGGTTCACATACTTTTTCTGACAAAGACATTTAATGTTGGATCATTTTGATCAATAAATGAATGAAAAAGTATTTTCTTTTGTGTGTAATTTGTTTTATTGGGTTCTCTTTATCTATTTTTAGGACTTAGATGAAGATCTGATCACATTTTAGGTCACATTTATGCAGAAATTCAGAAAATTCTAAAGGGTTCACAAACTTTCTAGCACCACTGTATGCTGACAACAATATAGATACTGCATACAAATGATAGGGTCAGTAGGTTTCATTGAATAATGACACGGGTCCACTTTCCCGATACAGAGTACAGAGCAGAGAAGACAGAGGGTACACAGAGAGCACATTTCAGGTGAGTTTTCCGTTGTGTTGTATGATTTCAACTAGATGGGTATCAGATCATTTGCCTTACTACAACACATTATTTCCTTTATCAAAGCCAAAATAAATTCAATTCCAGAGCACTTAAATATTTGTCAAGCTGGTTTTAATCATTTGGTTCATGTCACTTGTGTTTTGGACGTTGTGCTAAAGCTTCAACGTTGGCAGGTCCACCCCACACACTTCCAAAGACCTCTTTTTCTGTTTTTAAGGCCTCATCACTGGTCAGTTCTCTCCCAGACAGCACCACTTTTTTAACTGATCTGATCACAGCTGCTGGTCCCTTGGTGAAATCACTTAACCACTTCAATGCATCTTCCAAGGGTCTTCCCTCTTCATTAGATACCAGAATATCATCTGCTAATCTTGTCTGAAGTGCCAAATCTTGATCCACTTTACATGCCGTACTCAAAATTTTTAGGGCATTTTGGCTTCCAACAATGCGGACTAACCTAGCTCCTCCTCCCCAGCCAGGGACTAAACCCATGTGCTTATGAACAAATCGAATTTCACTCCCGGGTGCCATCAGCCTATGAAAGAAAACATCAGGTCCATTATAAAAAAAATAGAAAAAACAATATTTTAATTTTCTATATTAGCACTATACTCTACTGTACAAAATAAACTAAATTCACACATTAATTTTCAAATACTACTGATATTCACAAGAAACAAAGTTATCTATTGAGCAGCACTATATGATGATACTTAATGAGAATTATACTATAGTATTAGTACTTAATTCTGTGAAATATTTCTCTTTTGATAAGTTCAAATAAACTTTTTAGAAACAGTGAAAAACCCTTACAGTACCTAGTATAACAGTTTAAAATCAAAGATTCACTAAAGTTCATGCAAGTGCTACTAACCAATCAAAGTGCCTCCTGTTCTCATTTTTAAAAGTACTTCTCGTACTTTCCAATAGAAATGCTGATGAGAATGGAATTCAAAAGGATTTAACAGACATCCAAATCACTGTTTCCCATTTTATATTTGTGCTACCTTCTTGTAACACTCTGTGCCTGCCTATATTAAACCACAATTAAAACATCCATCAGGTGTTTTCTTGGTCTTAAATTTTGCATTTTTGAATTTCTATTGCAGCTTCTACAGTGTTTGCTAATCCTCCTGTTTTGGTTTCATCTGCACACTTCACTAGTTCATTGGTTGCATAAGAAAAATCAATATATATATTAGCAAGAACGTTTTTTTAATGGTCTATAAATATTTATATATTTTTTGTTTAATTGGTAAAATATCATCAATTAATCTTAAGTGTTTCTAGTAGCTCTGCCTCTCTAATGCAAATATTATGCAAGTTAGAGTTTTGTCTTTCTATAGACTGAAAGTGTTATCAAAATCTTCTTTCGTAAATTTCATGAGTGAAATATTTAACACATCAGCCTTTTCTTTCTCAATATCTAAAACTTTCCATAATTATCTCTGAGACACTTCATCAAAGAGGTGTTACTAAGTAATGTCTGACTTATAACACCTGATTTGCCCAAACTTTTGAACATGCCACATTCACTCTTTTTTTTCCAATCTGTTCAATTCAGCAAATAAATCGTAATTGTGTATTAAAATTTGCAGAAATATGACGTTTCATTTTTGTGCACTGCAGAGGTTATGTTAACTACTTCTCACTTAGAGTTATGGTGAAACATGCAATTTGATCAGGGGTGCCCAAACAGTTGTAAAGTTTGTGTTCAACTGTATATATAAAGTACTCATATACCTTTTATGATGAAGGTATAACAATTTAGGAGCAATGGTCCAAAATTAAACAATCAACCAATATAATTTATAATTATATATAACAATATTTTTTTTTCAAGAATCACCACCAAAATAGTTGGTTTGCACCAATGCATTAATTTAATAAGCCCTTTGAAACAACTCTGCACACAGGTGGACTCCAGTCAAGTAATTATGTGACTCGGAGAAGAGAGTTGGTTACTTCAGAGGTAATTTAGGTGTGTCAAAGCAAGGGGGTGAATACTTATGCATTCAATTTGTTTCAATATGTTTTTTATTTTTAATGAATATAGTAAAATGTCTGGATTTTTTTTTTCACTTTGACATTATAGAGTACTTTGTTGATGAGTTGCAAAAAGTCTCAGTTAAATATATCATGGTTCCGTGCTGTAACACAAAATGTGAAAAAGTCCAAGGGAGGTGAATACTTTTCCAAAGCACTGCATGATCCCATAAATTATTAAATAGGCTACAGGAGAAATAATGGTTTCTCTTTTTATTCACCAATGAACGGCGATATTTTTAGTATACTGTTCTTGCCTCATTTTTAAAGAAAATGTCTGTCTATATTTCTGTATAATTACTGATTATTCAATAATCACTCAGATTCACCAGGTTATTGTTCTTCACCTCAGCGGGTAAACCTGAATTAGACCAAGAAAGAACACTTAAAAAGAGACATAGCTCATGACTTATTTGCATCCATCCATTTTCTAACCCTTTCATCCAGTTCAGGGTGTAGGGGAGTTGGGGCCTATCCCTGCAAGCAATGGGTGCAAGGCAGGGTACACCCTGGACAAGACACTCCTTATAGTACTCAGGCCCTGGGTTCAATTCCTGGGGTGCTCATTGCTCTCTTCTATGTTATCCCTGTGTTCATGTGGGTTTCTGACAAGTTCTCTGGTTTCCTCCCACAGTCCAAACACATACTGGTAGGTTAACTGGCTTCTGGGAAAACTAGCCCCGGTGTGAGTATGTGTGTGAATGTGTGTGCCCTGTGATAGACTGTCTTTCCATCCAGGGTGTATACTGCCTTGTTCTTATGACTTGCTAGAATAGTCGTCACCTCCCCCATGACCCTGTATTGAATGAAGAATTGAGATCGGTCTAGCAGCCATTATGTAACCACAGGCCTAATACACAGCAGCTCAAGAAGAGAAACAAGAAAATGTTTTGTTAATTGAACCCAGAAGATAGTTTAGGAAAGCCAGATTGTACAAGAAAAGGATGTAATTTAGCCAGGACATCAGAGATCTGGTGAAACACCTGTACTCTTTAGAAAATTGCCTTGAGATCCTAAATGATCAAGTAGTTAAGACCTCTGTTTAATGTCTCATCCTAAGGACAACATCTCTTACATCAGAATATTCATGATCACCACACTGGAAAATTGATACACCAGCAACAATTACTGAAGCACCTTGATTCTCCTTAAAGGTCTCCCACACCAGTAATGACCAGGCCAGCCTCAGCTGTTGATTTGACAAGATCATACAGTACATGTTGATGGAGCTTTAGGTATTTTTTATGTAACACTTGTAAAAAGGGATTCCTGGTCTTACCTAAAATCACAGGCTGTAGTGAGTTCTGCTCCACCACCTAATGCTTTTCCCTCCACTAGAGCCACACTTATTAGAGGCAGTCTGCACTAGAAAAAAAATATTGGTAGCATGTAATTCATTAAATGTTAACTGAAATACAGTAGAACAATATAGTTAAACATTACACCATTTCTTGAATCAGTCACATTAATGATTAGGCAATATTATCTTGTTTCTTCCATCCTACCTACAATCAATTCTCATTCAGTTTTTCCTTCACGTTAAATTAAAATTACATCCCATTGAAATGGATTTCTGTTTTCCCAAAGATAAGAACACAGGGCCAAAAACATCTATTCCCCGTTTAACACTTCTGCTGCTTTGAATAATTTAACATCTAAACTCTACTAGGTAAAAACAGAACATGATGATTTTAAAGAGTGTGTTAAAGTAGAAAATAAACTGTGTTTGCACTACAGAATCTGTTATAACTGAACATTTGTGCGTAAAAATGTGATGGCATAAAGTTTGGTCCTTTTACAGCACTCCATAAGATTTGATTACAAAAATATCAAAACAGAAAAAGTATTTTTGCAAAAAAAATTAAAAGAGACTGTTATCCAAACTTGCAACCCAGTATTTTACCTCAGAAGTTGTGTCAACGTGTTCTGCATGAACATGCACATCTTCATCCCATCCTACAAGATTTTAAGGAAACAAATTCAATTCTTGCAATGCTTAATATGTCAGTTTTCTTTCATATGTAAAATGTAATTTGTCTTAAACATTCCATCTAGAACTCCAGAAAGCAGCAGGAAAAAAGAACATCTTGCTTTGTTAAGATTGGTGGACAGCAAAAATAAAATAAACCCAAGCCACATGTTCAAAAGATTAATATTGCAGATTCTTTGTCAGGCGTCTCCAACTCTGGGTCTGGAAGGCCCTAGTAAAGGTTCTCTGGGTAGCCTTTGAATAATCAATTTAGAGAGACCTGCACCTATTTGCCTAAGATCAATTTAGCAGGTAATGTGTTCACTTAAGTAATTTAGAAATTATTTGGAATAAAAATCAGAATATTAAATAGACGTTAAATACTACTACACCTTCATTGAAACATAACTTGTTTAATCAAATGCTTAAAGAAGTGATTTAGGGTGATTTAAAGTAGTGGTTCTCAAACTGTGGTACGCGTACTAGGAGTGGTACGTGGAACGCCGCCAGCTGGTACGCCATATGACCCTGGAACTTTGGTGTGTGCGCTTGACCTGTTTGACCTGCTGCCCCCTCTGAAAGACACAGTCACTCAGAATGACTGAAATGGCGGATTATATCAAAAGTACACTGGTAGAGTGCGTTAAGATGAGCAGATGCTTTTCACTACAATTAGATGAGTCTGTAGTCGATTTGGCCAATTTGCTTGTTTTACGTTAGATACTGTACGAATTCGAGGGTCCGTCCAATGAGGACTTTCTGTTCCTGTAGTACCAACAGGAACTACAGGAGACCACATATTTCAGCTTCTGAATAAATTTATCAAAGAGAATGACATCGACTGGATAAAATGTGTCGGAGTTTGTACGGACGGTGCTAGAGCGATGACAAACCGACACAGTGGTGCAGTTGCATGAATTAGAGAAGTTGCTCCAGAAATGAATGGACGCATTGCAACATCCACCGTGAGACCTTTGCTGTCAAGAAAATGGCAGGTGATTTAAAATCTGTTAGACTGTTGTGAATTGTATCAAGGCTTGAAAAATGAATTCACATCTGCTTTGCTCGACTAAACAGGCTCACCCCTCTCACTGAAATGGTGCTTTTTTATTGTTTATTTTTATTTGTTGTTGTTCCTGTTTTTTTTCTGTAAAGCGCTGTGAGAAGCCACCTTTAAAGGCGCTGTATCAAATAAAGTTTATTACTATAATATTTATTATATGTGTATGTGAGTGTGTGCACGCACGTGCGCTCATGTTTCTCATTGAGAATTTCTGGGGTTCCTATGAGAAGATGACTTGTAGGTGGTACTTGGATGCTTTGGTTTGATCAGGGGTGGTACCTGGTCCAAAAAGTTTGAGAACCACTGATTTAAAGAATAACTGGACTAAGGCATTCCCGGCAAACCCTGGTTTACAGTGTGTGGATGGCTTTAAAACAAACTTATTTTAAATACTGAAGGGGACAATTTAGAGAAGAAAATGTCATGCACTGGTTATATTTACAAGAAAACATTTACAATTTCCATAGAGATGATCCTCCAGAAGGACCACATAACTGCTGGATTTCATTCCAGCTGAACCTGATGACCTGATTGAAGCCTTAATTGAACTAAAAAGTTGATTGATTGAAATATTTGCATGTTTTTATTTCTACTTAATAGTCTGGAATTTCATTTTAGTTTAAATTAAACATGAAAATGAAAAATTAACAATGATATAATAGTTAAAAGGAAATATCTTTACATGTTTATGAGCTGAAAATGATTTGTAAAAATCACATTTAACCTAATGATAAAAAAATCAAATTAAACCTAGCTGAAAGCATTCAGTTTGTTCATGCTGGATCCCCTGCTCTTGATTAGTTTTAATTCTTGTGGCTTTGAAGCAAGGCTTATTAGTCTACAATTATATGTTACCACCCTTTAATAATGTTTTTTAGATCTTTTGTATGGATAGACATTACTTTAGCAAATGTGATACAATAAAAATATACATTATTTTAAATTAGAAATGAAACCACTGCCCTGTGACTTTTTTAACATCCATAAAACCATAAGAAACATTACCAATGACTGACTGACATTCAACCTAGCTCACTTAGCTAATCGATCTGAGGCTGTAATCACTCATTGAAACAGGAAAGGGCATCAGCTTGAGTAACTTGTTCCAGGCTCCCACAACTAAATTGTTGAAACAATTTCTCAGTTTTCTACATGATCTGTTGGTGCATAACACCACTCATGTGTCATCCAGGTGCTCAGTGATGGATGAAGTAGGCGCAGTTCTATAATCAAAATGCTTTAGAAGCTTTTGGGATGAAAAGTGCTATATAAATGCAATAAATATTAACATTAAAAATATTAATATTGTAATATTTTTCAGATAATGTTCACAACTGTAGGGCACAATATAAACTAAAAACTGTTTATTGCTTTGTCTATTGTTCAACAAGCACTGTTACACAAGGAATGTAAAAAATAAGTCCTACCTGACAACTGGATAGTGCTCTGACTGCATTTAAATCTGAACCTGAACAGAAAGTATTGGCTGTTCCCTGTACAATAAGACCTTTTCCCTCTGTCCATTGTTCAAGTTGATCAATTCTGTCCTTCAGTTGTATCATCATTGTACCTGTCAAAGTAAGGAACATGGTTTCTGAAATCTTTCATTCCTGGAAGTTGCTGCACTAACTGGAACAGGCCTCACAAAATCAGCACTTTATTCCTTATCTCTCCAATACATACTGCTGGGTATTTATGAAAAAAGCAGTATGTATGGTATTATACTGTACAGTCTCAAAACGTTCCAAAACTCTACAAAGCATTGAGTGTCCTCTCCTTTATACTGTATGATTTTACTAGTGTAATATGCATAATTGTTTTAGTTAATCTGTAACTAAATTCAATATGAAAATATTTTCTCTTAACTTTTCTTCACTTTTAATATATATATTCTATAGTATGTATCAAATACACAAGTCACAGAAAATGAAATATAAACTGACAGAATGCAAATTAACTTTATTTATAATACAATTTTAAATGAGAAATGATCAAACAAGAACATTGATACCTGTGAATGCATTCTTGTGATTGGGGTTGTTTATAGTAAGAACTGCAATGCCACTGTCCTGCTTGATGAGGTCAACTGATCCTCCTGGGAATGCCTGAAGCTTTTCTTTGATCTCTTCTTCATTAAAACAACTGGCATTTGTGTAGATGGCCTTGCTCCTTTTCTGAAACACTACTAATACATTCTGTGTTTTCTGAAGGAGGCGAATACCAATATTCTGCAGTGCCATTCTGAAATAATAAATTAATATTAGAGAGGAGAATGTGATGAAAAAAACTATGTTTTATATAACTGATCCAAATTCAAAATGCATTATAAGATTAAATCATTACTAACTTAACAGTTAGGATATTAAGTCCCAGTTCTTCTGGAACATTTTAAAAAGGTAACAGCATCATCGATCATTTTACAAAATTAAATCTAACACTATTTACAAACTAGGCATCCCAGAGGCCTGCTTTCCTATTTTCCATGAAAACCTAGATTGCTAACCCTGTAATTTAAACCCTTTGAAGCTGAAGAACCCTATAAATTCAGGTGCTCCAATATGAATGGGAATGCATGCACTAACCAGGAGAGAACGTCTTTAGTCTGGTGATTTCACTTGAATATCAGAGTTTTCTAAAACAAGACAGCAAGCTCTCAATGTTCAAATACATAGCTAGATTTAAGGTTGATCAGAACAAGGTTATTCTTCTGATTCTTCTCTCTCTCTGCTCCCTTTCTTTCTTCTTCTCTTCTCCTCTTTCTTGTCTCTCTTTTCCCCGTTTCTGCCTAACTTTTAGTCTGTTTCTAGACTGTTTGTACTCTTAATGATTTACCAATTCATTAATTAACTGGGGTAAACTAGTTTCATTATTGTCCCTTGAATTGCCTACAAGATAGTAAATACCTTTTCTCCTACCGATTGTTTCTTATCTTTTTGTGATCACTGTAATAGTATTTTAATGTATTTAATTTGCTCAATCAAACAGCAAAGACTATGAGGTGCCGTTTAGGCCATTACTCAAACTTTACCTCTCATATACACACATATTACTCTCACGTACACACAAAAAGCTCTCACATTCTCTAGTTTTACCTCTTACATACACATAAAACACTCTCACATTCACTAGTTTCACCTCGCACATATACATAAAACACTCCTTCACAATGTGAACGCGAGCGGCAAAACTAGTGAATGTGATGCATTTTATGTGTATGTAAGAGGTAAAATGAAGAGTGTAAGAGCATTTTATATGAATGTGAGAAGTACAATGGAGAGTGTGAGAGCATTTTGTGTGTGTATAAGAGGTAAAGTTTGAATAATGGCCTAAACCGCACCTCATAAACTACTGCAATAACAACATAGATTTATGTCAAACACTAATCCACTAATCTGTGTATTTCTATGCAATAAGAACATAAAACAAAACTAAAAAAAAAATGATCCATTCATACCATCTAGATCATTTGCAATTTTGATATTTTGTCAAATCATTTCTAAAAGAGGACAGGGTCAAAGTCAATTGAAAAAATCAGTCTTCTGGTTTCAGTTGTAAATGCACTTACGTGTAGTTTTCGCTTGTGCCCTTTGATTTGTTTTACTGCTGATCAATCCAATTACGTTGACTTGGTCATTGATTTTGAGTATTCTAAATATTAGAATAAGGTCACTTTGCATTATTCTCTGTTCAGGATTTAAGCCTGTTAGTGTTTTTTTTTAATCCTGAAATGCATTTGGTTACCCTTCTTTGAACAGAGCAGAAATATTTTTTGTAACATGATGATCAAACTTGACACAATATTCTAAATTTAGTCATACTAGTAAATTGTAATTTTTAACACATAATCCATTTAATTTTCTGTTTTAATTTCTTCCCCACATTATCTAGAGCAAGAGATGTAAATGACATTTCAACATAAATTATTTTTTAGTTTCTTATTTTACATAATTATTTCTAACTACAGTATAACCAGTTTTGAAAAGTTATTTTTGAATTTATTAAGCTGTTTCTACAGTGCCTTCTAATCATTGTATAATGGTAATTTTTGCAATCTTAAATAGTTAATTAATTATCCCATAATCTAAATAATTTTGTAATTAGGAAGAGCAGTGAGCCCAATGAAGATCTCCGATAATTATATCACCTTAATCTGAGCATTCACTACTAATCTATCTGTTTACTATCCATTAACCCATTCTTGATCCAAAGACATACTTCAGACTATCATCTGCATTTTGCCTATTTTATTTGAATTAAACATTTTTGAGGGACCTTATCAAAAGCCTTTTCAAAATCAAAATATTCCACACCATGCACTATTTGTATGCATTAATGCTGTTCTTGTTCAAATGACTCTGGCAAGGTAGTTAAGCAAGACGTACCTCTACTGTATCTAGTGTACCTATTACAATACACATGATCTACAGTATAAGAGTTAAGTTTTCATGAGTATTATCCTTAACCTTCCATGTACATGTGTATCTTTTACTAAAGTTTTATATATTTTCTATTTTAGATATCTTAATGAATCAGACATAATATCAGAGAAGGATACTTATATATAGTAAAGAAAGAAATCCCAACTACCACAATTGTACACATCATGACAGGGATAAGCCTGCATGCCTTTTAATTAATATCCTAAACAAGTACTCTTATTTTTTTCAACACAACTGCATATCCAGGTATCAATTAAATTAGACCCTTCTAATTACTCTATAATACCTTGGTTTGGTTTTGTCAAAGTGTTTTACAAAGTTCTTGACTGACTGCTCAGACTATTTTGTTAATAACATAAATAACACCTTCCTTAACTATAAGTGGTAGAATATCATAAAGATCTAGAGATTTACCTTAAATACTTATAGTACTGTAATGTGTTTATACAGATTTGTTTTTCCTTTGGCCTAAACATACTTTTGTTGCAAATTATTATCCATTTCTTGGCCTTTGTAATGCAGTATCTTTTTTACTTGTGTTTGCAATTTATTCTACTTTTTTTCAACAGAATGGTGTTCTCTTCAAAAGAACATTTTTCATTTTCTAATTTGCTTTCTTTCTCCTTATATTCTCATATGAGGCTCACTTATCCGCCAGGGATAAAGGGCAAGGTTTAAAGAAGTTGAAGACCATTATTCGTTTTGTTGTTGTTTCTTCAGGCTCACGAACGCAGGAATTAATGTACATCTCTCTGGGCCACAGCCACAGCTGTCAATTAATTTATGAAAAGTGAACTAAAAATATGAAATATTAAAACTAAATGAAATATTTAAAAGGGCAAAGCATGATTTGCCCCTCTAAACAATCAAGATGACGGATGTGTTTTTGCAAAATAGTACATAATTGATAGGCGTACAAATACAGAATGGAGCACAACATGAACACCTATAAATGTACAGTATAATTACCATCAAACAGTATGGGGCAGTAGTGAACAATAACCTTTCCAATAACTTTCCTTCCACGACACTTTTACTATGACAACAAAGAAGAATAAAGTGTTACTTTTTTGCTAAAGTACATTCCATTTAGAGTATTGTAGTACGATATTCCTAAAAGAGATATCTTAATTCGCAACTTCATGAACTGATTGTGTAGAAAGTACTTGTATTCGTCCGGATACTTTATGACTAGATGTCAAATATCTCAGGAATTTGAATATTTTAATATCAATTGTAATAGTCATAACGTGTTCTGAACAACCTTCTACTAACCTGAAACGTTCGCAAGATTTCCGCCGGTCCTGTGTAACAGAGAACTCAAACCCCCAAGAAACAAGTCTAAATTGATCATTTCCTACTGGAGGTGCAATACATTATTACGGTTTAGCGAGGCATGGAGAGTTAAGACTTTTTCCGAATCAGTGAATATAAATTCTAATTATGTAAGAAATATATCTTTATAAAAGCACATTGGAGTCGTGTAGAGATCTAATCAATTTTAGTACTACGTGCAAAATAAAATCGGCAGATTAAGTTTTCTGTGCACGTACTGTAGCTACACAAAGTACAAGAAGGGCTTCGTCTAGCATGGCATGTCATTTACAAATGTTTTTTTTTACAATAACTAGTTAAATAAAACCGATATATTTTATCTGTTACCAGTTGATTGCAACATTGAAATAACCGATGATTACATCAGTTATAAACTTTTTGTTGCATTTATGCTTAATATAGTTTCTTCGCATTATTATAAAGTATGCCTAGCCACTCGATACTGTATATCTATGTTCAATATTTTTTTCTGTGACTTCTGAAAGGGGCAATATACTGTACAACAATGATACAAACGTGTTCAATGACCTTTCTACTAGGTAAAGATCACAAAATATTTTTTAAACAATTACTTGGTGTTTCTTAATATATTGAACAAATGATGAGTCCGACTTAATAGGTTGACCTTCAAATGTATATATACTTTATGTCCATCCATTTTCTTACCTCTTTATCCAATTCAGGGATGTGGGGGAGCCAGAGCCAAGCCCTGCAAGCAGGATACACTCTGGGCAGGACATCACAGGGTACTCTGGAAGTGCACACTCTTACACCAGGGCCAGTGTTCCCAGAAACTAATTAACCTACTAATATGTCTTTGCTCAGGGGGGAGAAACCAGGGCACCTGTTGGAAACCTGCGCACACACATGGAGAATAAACATACTCCATGCATATAGCACCTTAAGTCTGAAACTGAATGCAGGGCCCCACTGTAGCCACTATTACCACTGTGCCACTATGTTCCCCTTGTACAGTATATACTGTACTTTTTTGAAGTACTGTATTGGTTATATACTATGTTAATTATTAATTTTGTCTTTTACCTACCAAAGAGAAAAATGGGACTGGTTGTGGTGCCAATAGCTGTACTGGAGGAAATTAAAGAGATATTAACATTTAGGATCTTACATCACAGCTACAGTATCTTAAGATGTCAGTTGTTGTTCATATTAATTTTATACCTACAATTTAACTGTTATTGTGTCTTCAATGTCTGAGAGTATTTATATATTTTATAATCATTGAACATACAGTATATGACCTCTAATTAAGTTCTGTTCAGCAGCTTAAAGAAAAATTAATTACAACATTGACCAGATATTACATTTTGAACTTTTGTGCTTTGTGCCACATTTTTCAATACAATAATGTAATTGCACACTGTATGAATAATAATATACTGTTTGAATTTCTTGGACTGCAAATTATTTCTTATAGAGTCTTTATTTGGCAGTCCAAGAAACTGAGCTTTGGAGATGTTTTTGCAAAGAAACGTTGAAAGTTTGTTCCTTGTACTTTTGTTTAAAAAAGGGTTTTGCAGTGCTTTTCTGCTGTAGAGTGCTACTTGAGCTGTCACTTGAGTGGTGACTCTTATTTTTGTAATTTAAAAGCATACAAAATGGTTAGTAGGGCCAAACATTAGTGGTAATTGTAATCTTAATTTTAATCACATAAAACATTAAATTTGAAAAAAAGAAAATGGGGAAAAACTCAAACAGGTTCTTATTGCAACCTATACATTTCCAATACTTTATGTCTGGTATTCCACAAGATTCTACACAATGTGTACAATAATCCAAAAACTCAAGGACTCCAAAATGATTTTATTTGTTAAAATATCTAATGTCATGAAAATATAGGATAAGCTCCATTCAGTGATATTTAAAAATTACCTTGTGTACTGCAAAATTACTTTTATATTTTACATTACCTTTCTATAAAATAATATAGGGTTAGTCAACATGTTATCGGCAAGTATAAATGCCCATTATTTTACTTAGTTAAAGTTTAAGTTTTGTTTTCTCCTCCACAGGTGGTGCTACAGTCACACGGTATACACAATAGCATCACCTGTGGAGAAATCATTTTGTGTTCTCTGTTATCATGAAACAAAATCAAGTGTTTCCATGCATCGATCATTCAAAACTAAATTTCACAAACATCCACCAATGTGGGACTCCATCATTAAGTGGTGCAGGCAGTTTGTGGGGCATGTATGCATCTGCATGGGCAAAAGCATAGGTCATCCTTGCACAGATGACGCGACTGTGGGCCATGTTAGAAACTTCGATATTTATGCTTTCGTTTGAAACCTTTTTTGTCACAGTGACCCATGTAATTAATTTGTAATAAACTGTCAAAGTTGTCAAAAGCATTTTGACTGATCCTGTATTTTACATTGACCAATATAAATACAAATTGTACCTCTGTAACCTTTTAAAATAGTATGTTTTTTCTATAACTATACACAGGTATTTAACTGAGATCTCTGAAGTATTGTTATTTATTTTCTTACTTATTGAAGAATGCAAGTTTCAGCAAATTAAGATTAAAATACCTCTTTCCTTCTCTTTCTTTTAATATAATATTTTTGTGATTTCATTAACACATAATCTGAAAATAATTCACATTTGATGTAATTGATTTGAACCACTGTAGGGCAGTGTTTAGCTGGTGACTGATTTCTAAAAATATTTTGCTTATGTGTTTCTGAAAGTCTCCTGAAACATTTATAAAAACAAATGAAGCAGCTTTCCTAATTGTTTTTTTCTGTTTTTTTTTCTGAAAACTTAAATAGATACTTTTATATGAGTTTCCATTCTACCATTGATTTATTTCTTCTCTGATATGAACTACTCAGATATAGTTAGACATATATATATTCTCTTCCTGGAAATTCTGAGAAAGAGAACGCGTAACTGAGTATGCAACACTTACAGTAACAAGTGAAAACACTGCAAAGTCAGGGCCACTTAGGTTATTATACAGTACATATGAATGGACTGTGCTGCAGTTTTATAATTTTTCAGGATATATCAGCCTGTGTAGAGCACGTCCTGCTGTATCAGCACTTGACTGTTCATCTTTTTAAAAATATTTTATTCTACAGCACTCTCTTTCAGACTAGCCTGTTTTCAACGATCCTCATTTGACACAGTACCCTCCAGTTGTGTCATAAGAACATAAGAAAACACATAAAAAATGTTAAAAAAATGAGAGGATGCCATTTAGCTTATCTGTCCCAGTTGGAGGTAATGGTTAATTAATACTATAATCTCATTCAGCCATTTCTTAAAAGAAAATGGTTTCGGCTTCAATATCATATGGCTTGGCACCTTGTTTCATACTCCCACAACACTTTGAATAAAGACATGCCTCTACTTATGCCCACTGGCTCATGTTTCACTATTCATTCTGAACCTGCTAGATTGACTGTGTCAATGTCTTTGATTATTTTGAAGAATTATAATCAGATGCTCTTGTAGCCTTCTTTGTTCAAAACTGAAAGGGTTCAGTTTATTCCGGCTGTCAGTATAGGACATCCCCTTAAGCCTCAGAATGTATGTGATTATTTTTACCTTGATTGATTCTATATGACTTCTACAATGTGGTGACTAAACTGTACACAATATTCTAAATGAGGCCTTTCTAGTGTGTTCTGCAAATTCAACAAAAAAAAACCTTTATTTAAATTATACAATTTTAACTATATTTCCTAGAAGTATGGCTGCCTTTTTAATTTCTTTTTTGACATTGACTAGTAGGTGTAAAAGAATAAGCCGTTTTCATAAGCAGCTTTTGTTAACTCAGCTTTGCAGCTCTTTCCAGTTAACTGGAAAACCAGCAGCCATATCACCCTGCAACTCACAACTGGCAACCCACTGAAGCTAAGCAGGTGTGAGCCTGGTCAGTACCTGGATGGGAGACCTCCTGGGAAAAACTAAGGTTGCTGCTGGAAGAGGTGTTAGTGGGGCCAGCAGGGGGTGCTCACCCTGTGGTCCATGTGGGTTCTAATGCCCCAGTATAGTAACGGGGACACTATACTGTAAACAGGTGCTGTCCATCGGATGAGATGTGAAACCCTGACTCTCTGTGGTCATTAAAAATCCAGGGTGTTTCTTGAAAAGAGTAGGGGTGTAACCCTGGTGTCCTGGCCAAATTTCCCATTGGCCCTTACCAATCATGGCCTCCTAATAATCCTCATCTATGAATTGGCTTTATTAATCTGCTCTCCTCCCCACTGATAGCTGGTGTGAGCGTTCTGGCGCATTATGGCTGCCATTGCATCATCCAGGTGGGTGCTGCACATTGATAGTGTCCCCATTACCTGTAAAGTGCTTTGAGTGGAGTGTCCAGAAAAGTGCTATATTATTAATTATTATTAACTGGATGCAAATACCCTACAGTTGTCTACATTTAATGTCATCTGAAAGGAGTTTGTACAGTCTTGTTTTTTTCGATATCTTTTTGAATTTAATTTGCTACCTCTATACAGTTTGCTTATCCTCTTAAATTGACTGATAAATAAATTGATAAACTTGACTAGTTTATGATTCTTATTTTAAAATCCAGATTTTTTATGTTAATTATATTATGTTCCAGTACAGTCCCTGCATTACTTTGCTAGTAATGGCCCCAATTTCAGTATTCACATCTTATCTGCAGCCTTTATTTTCTATTAAATAACCGGTTTTGAAACCAAACACTCATGTTTCCCTGAACACCTACCAATTTAAAAAATAAGTTGTTTATCAACACTTTCTCAAAAGTCTTCTGAAAATCTCATTACACCATGGGGCTGTTTCAGAAAGCAAAATTACTCAGTAACCGAATAACATTAGTAAACATGTCATAAAAGTCTGGATTTTTGGTTTCTTGAAGCAGGTAAATTGTGGATAAAGTAACTACAGCAACATACAGTACTGTATCCTCTATTCTTATGCTCCAGGGTAAGTTAAATCTTTATGGATAACTAGATTCACACACCAATCAATCTCATGAAGAAA